AGTACAGAATCATAGTACAAAACCTATCCAACTGCAGAGATGTGTAAGACAGGGAGATGTAATATCTCCGAAACTTTCACCACTACATTGGAAGACGTCTTCAAGCTACTGTAATGGAAAGGACACGGTATTAACGCCAATAGTAAGTAAATTACCCACCTTCAATAAGCCGACTATACAGTCCTAATGGCAGAATCGTTGGAGGACCTAAGCACTATGCTCAATGACCTGAATAGTGTCTTCTACGGATAAGTCTTAAGTTGAACACGGACAAAAGAAAATCATGTGTAATAATATCCATATCACACTAATATGCCGGTGGTTGTTGGGAGCCCTAAGCTCGAAGTTGTGGATGAGTATGTTTACCAGGGACAAGTAGTCCGGTTATGTAAGTCCAACTTTGAACGAGAGGTCAATTAATGGATTCATTTCGGATCAGCATTTGGAAAATTACGAAACATCTTCTCGTCAGGCATACCTCAAAACCTCAAAACTAGATTGCACAACGGTTGCGTATTGTCAGTGATGGCATATGGATCTGTGACGTGGTCCTTAATTGTTGGCCGTATGAGGAAGCTCAAAGTCGCTCAGAGAGATACGGAAAGTTCTACACTCTATGTTTTTCTGCATGTTAAACTTAGGAATAAGAATATCAACAATAGAACCAGAGTGATCGACATAGCCCAACGGATTAGTAAGCTGAAGTGGCAATGGGCTGGCCATATAACTCGAAGAATGGATAGCGGATGGGGGAAAAAGTTCTTGAGTGGCAGCCTCGTACCAGTAAACGAAGTTTAGAGCGTCCCCCTATTAGACTGAGTGACGATCTAGAAAGACATGCAGGAAGTCGATGGATGCGGGTGGTTCAGGATCAAATTTTGCGGCATTCCTTGGGGGAGGCCTATGGTCAGCAGTGGACTTGTGAAGCGCTATAATAATAATGATGATGATTAAAATGTATGTAGAATATAAATATGCCATTCCAGCTTTTTACTTGTTTCGTGAAGGAAATGGTAAATCATCACAAGTTGCAAAGAAAAGATTTACAGTGAGCGCTTAGCCTCTGAGCTGTAATGGCTCTCGTTTTCCTGCCTATGATTTCATCATATAAATTATGTTAGTATTTTCATTCCATAAGTTCGAACAAAAAAGAATAACAGGCAATAAGAATAAAATACAATAACATAATTTTTGAAGAAGCTATTTTTTATAGCAAGAAGGTTCGGATACATACATTGGGGATAATTCTGTTATAAAAGCCTGTTTAAATTGTTAAATTTACCTGGAAACAGCGGGATATTCAATAAAATCATCTCTTTCAAGCTCGTTGCAGGATAAATTAGGATGGAGTTTGGGAAATCTAAAAAACGTATTCTGTCCGGATATTGAAAAACTTTTTTTGAAATTTTTTTTGCTGTTAGAAAATAAATTTATGAATGGACCATGAGATAATTTATGAACTTTGTAATATGAAATGCACTGTAATTGGGTTAACTTATCGAATCTTGTATCTAATTCAACTTGCCTTAAATTGTAATTTTCTATGGAACTAAACTCATTATAATAAATAAGCCTGCCGTTATGATTGCGGTTCCGCGTTTTAGAATTGGCTGCTAATAAACACAGATAAGGGCAGTGGTAGCTCAGATGGTTAACGCTCGCTGTAAATATAACAGAACGCAAGTAACCCGGGTTCGATCCCCACCGGCACCAATGAAATTGTTAATTGCAATTTTATGTGCTGATTTACCACGTGCTCGCCAGTGAAGGAAAACATTGTGACGATTGTCTCTGAGGAATTAAAGAAAAATATATTTCGAAGACACTTCCTTGCCCTAAAACCCTATTACAAATGAGGGGGAGGCATGTGGCCAGCAATGGGGCATATATAGGCTGTAACTAAGCACACATCGGTAATCTGAAGTTGTAATGGGCCGGCCATATAGCTCGTAGAACCAACAACCGAAGGGAAGAAAGGTTCTCGAGAGGCAGTTTCGTACCTTAAAGCGAAGTATAGGACGACCAAAACGACGTCGTGGTAAGAGATGCTTACTTCCCGCATCATGTCTTGAGTCACATGGATGCAGGTGATTCTAGACCGTGATTTGTGGTATTCCGTAGTGAAAGGTTATTTTTTGCAGAGGACTTGACGATGAAGTATTCAGTAACAAATCCGTACAGGAAAATAACTTCTGGTGTTTAACTATTATAACTAAAATATTAGAACTTATAAATGAGTCAGGACAACATGTCTATCAATAATATTAGTTAATATACTCACAGTTTCGAAGAGAGAAAACAGTCTTCAAGAATTATTAACACTTTAAGAAATGAGACGGTGCCTGTGCCCAGCAGCGTGGGACGTATATATGCTTTAACAAACTTTGCTGTAACTTTAATTTATTTAGAAAAAAATCAAAATCATTCTTTGTTTAATTTGCTAAGGATGGTCTATTGTAGGCTTTTGCGTAGTAATTTGTCATTTTATTTCACTTAAAGTGATATCCCACTTATCGACATAATTAGGTATCCAGTTACGAAAATGATTTCATTATTTTAGAATTTACTTTGATAGAGGTGCGTCCCACTTCCATTGCTATTTTTCTGGTTTATAGGTAAGTGAGCTAGCTTAGTAACAGTCTATAAGGCATTCCAGGTGTCTGTGTTCCCTAGTAGCCACATACTTACCATAAGATGGATTTTTAGTACATTTTTCACTCCAATATATTTAAAAACGATAAATTTCTCTCAGATATACAAGTTATTAACTATCACTAAAATAGTAACAGTATGTAATAGTAATTTATCTCTTATAGAGTATGTAGCATTCCAAAAAAAAAAAAAAGATAAAGAGGTTTCTTAGTTTCATTAATACAGGTTAAAATGTGCAATATTTTCCCTTATTCCGGTCCCATTTTACAAAGTACGAAAGTAAAAACTTTAATACAAGATCAACAACACAATCTTAAAAGACAGAAGGAAGAAGAATATCATTACCTTTTTTTAGATTCCGTCACAGCCTAAGTCAAAGAATTATTAAAAATTAAAAAAAATTCAAATTTATTTTATTTGTGAATGCAGGTAATGAGACAGAACACAACTTTAAAAAAATATATATTCGCTGCATACAACCCTTAGGTATACAAATATTACAGTTATAATTAAATCTATTACATTTCCACAGTTAAATTATTTCTATTTATATTAAAATATTCAACAGTGATGAAATAATTAATCAAATTAGGATATTTACATTAATATATAGTCTAATCGAATATCAAAAGAATTTTATTTCATGCAATGTCGTAATAATATGCCTACTAATTCGTCACTTAAATATTCATAGATTGAGTAGTAGCATTTCTCAATTACATAGAAATGTTTTAACTTCTTTTTTTAAATTTATGAATATTTTCCATTTCATGAAACATAGATGGAACCTTATTATAGATTTTAGATATTATACCGAAAACACTTTTTCTAAGTAAAGCCGTCTGTGATGAAATTGTATGCATTTTATTTTTACGATATCATTAACTATTTCAGGATTAGTTTTTACAAATGTCACAACTTCATAATTATACATTTCGGGAAATTTCAATAACTTAATTTTATTTAAATTGTGGTTTACAGCTTTCTGTACTCGGTATACCTGCAAGAGCATGCACACTTTTTATTGTGCTTTAAATATATCTTCGCGCCTTGAAGCATTGCCCCAAAAATTATACCGTAGCGCACAGTAGAAGATACGGAGCCATGATATTCCGTCCGTAAAGCATCTTCATTAACTACTTTGGATAATACATGCAGAGCGTATGAAAATTGGTTTAACTTTTTGCAAATATATTCTGTATGAGTCTCCCAAGTTGTTGTCAATATAAAGACCTAAGAATTTTTGGTATTATCAAATAGTATATAGTATAATATAACAGTATTAAGTTACATAATATACCTATGTATTTTGAAATCATCATTATTCATCATCATTACAGCCCTTCACAAGTCCACTGCTGAACATAGGCCTCCCCCAAGGAATGCCACAAAGCACGGTCCTGAGACACCTGCATCCATCGACTTCCTGCATGTCTTACCAGGTCGTCACTCTATCTAGTGGGGGGTCGCCCTACACTACGCCTACTGGTACAAGGCTGCCACTCAAGAACCTTTTTTCCCAATCGGTTGCCGGTTCTTCGAGCTATATGACCGGCTCATCACCACTTCAGCTTACTAATCTGTTGGGCTATGTCAACCACTCTGGTTCTACTGCGGATATCCTAATTTATAAATGAATCACAAAGAGAAACTCCGAGCATAGCCCTTTCCATAGCTCGCTGAGCGACCTTGAGCGTCCTCGTACGGCCAGCAGTGAAAAACCACGTCTCATATCCATACGTCATTACTGTCAACACGCACTGGTTGTAAAATCTAGTTTTCATGTTTTGAGGTATGCTTGACGAGAAGATGTGTCGTAAATTGCCGAATGCTGCCCAGTCGAGTTGAATACGTCGATTGACCTCTCGGTCAAAGTTGGACTTACCTACTCAGACTATTTGTCCCAGGTAAACGTACTCGTCAACAACTTCGAGCTTAGTACTCTCAACAACTGCTGGCATAGGTGTGACATGGACATTAAACAAGATCTTTGTTTTGTCCATATTCATCTTAAGATCTATTTTGTTCTTATTATCGATACTTCATTTCCTTAAAACTCTCTCAAATATGAGAGGAGGCCTGTGCCCAGGAGAGCAACGTATATAGGCTTTCACTTTAATACACCAAGTGTCAGCATCGTGTGGTATTCTTTTGCAGAAGAAAACCTGTTAAGTTAATATAAAAATAATAATTTCATCTTATAATAAAATACATTGAATTATTGCACTCTTATGTTTATATCTTTGGAAATATATATATGCACCGTTACTTATTATGATTTTTATGAACAGGGACCAAATATAATTTATTCATTGACATACCTACATTTTATATGTCGTTTGTTACAGCTTTGACGTACGAGGCAGATCATTTAGTAAAGCATTGCAGTGGTCTGATCCAGGTGCATTTGGTCCGAGGGCTTATTTTGCAACTATTTCCCGACCAGCTTCCTTAACTCTTAGCTCCGTGCAACTGGATGATGAAGGTTTCTATAGATGCCGCGTTGATTTCAAGAATTCTCCAACCAGAAATTTTCAAATTCGTCTTATTGTTATTGGTAAGTCAGTTTGTACCGATATTCAGAAAAAATGGGATTTTATTTTTGTGAAAAGACGTAGGAAGTTCGGGTCGTAGAGCGCAGCTGCCTGTTCTCTTATTATTTTTTAAGACTTTAATCATTTTAATATGTATGTTTATTTTGTTCTATTTTGAACCACAACCAATTTGTAGTATTATTGCATGCTCCTAATGTTAATTTTTATTTAATATAAGATTTATTTTAACAATTCATTACTATACTCCTAATAAGTTTTTCTTTAGGCAACAGTATCTGCAAATCAATTTATTATGAATGAATCTGGACAACATCGCGGTTGGCGGATAATGACATCTCGTAGACATTTTAATTATGGACTGTCGACTCGGGATTCCGAGATTGCTCAGCCAGGTTTGATAAAAACGATGCCCGCATATAATGACGGAAATAAAATATGTCAGGGGACACAATAATTCTAAATGTACCTGAAAATTTTGATATTTCGATTTACGTTAAAAAAAGTAAACGAGATAAAATCCCTAAAATAAGTTTAATTTTTTTATAGGAGAAGGCGCAAACAAGTATACGGCTCACCTGATTGTTAGTGATTACCATCGCTCACAAACAACGGCAACACCAGGGTAATCACAGGTGCGTTGCCGGCCTATTAGAAATGAGTATACTCTTTTCTTGAAGGTCTCTAAGTCGTATCGGTCCGGAAAAATTGCAGGTGGTAAACTATTTCACAGAGAGTTCGTACGAAGAACAAAGCTCTTAGTAAAACGAGCAGTGATGGACCTGGAAGCACCCAGATGGTGTGGATGGTGTGGGGGGTTTTGAAGAGATGTGCGTTCATGAAATTTGGCGGCTGTAATCAATCCGAACAATTCCTTATAACACTTCTCGTAGTAGATGCGAAAGAAAATGCAAGGGAATGCAACATCTCTTAGCAGTGCCAGTGAATTGAGCCAATCGGATAGGACTCGGAGAAGAGAAGGCGTCGACGATTCCAGCTGCTCTGCACTGGATGTGATCAAGTGGAAGAAGCTGGTACTGGGAAGTCCCAGCCCAGAGATGGGAGCATTAAACTACGTGAGACCGAACCTGCACCTTGTAAAGTTGCAGGCGATATTACGGCATGAAATACTGTTCCGCACTGCTAAGCACGCCAAGCCTTTTAGAGGCCTATTTGGCCTTCTCTTCCAAGTGACTACAAAACTGCACATAATTCTATATGCAGACGCCGAAGATTGCGATATTGGCTGGGGCAAACTGAGGAGATACGATAAAGGGTTTTTTTTTAGCGGTAAACGCGCAAACTTGTATATTCTGGGGATTAAACTGGATTAGATATCCCATAGTCGCCCCAATCCGAGACTTTCGTTCTGACACAAGTTTGTACCAGTACTCGGAGACGTTTACCCTAAAAATATTGCGCCGGTTTATAGAGCATCACCAGTGCTGTCATCCGCATAGCAAAGAATGTTACGGGTTTTCTATGTATCGTTGATATGCAGAAGAAACAGCTTTGGTAGCACACTACACGTTGATAGCATGCAGTCTTGTGGAAGACCAGCATTGAAAGGCTTATAATCGCTATGTCCAAACTTACAGTCAATGCCTCCTCCTTGGAGCTTCCGCCCATCTATGAATCAGGTAGACCAGAAAATAGACCCCTACAAAATTGACTATTACTAAGCAGCTGATGATCCTCAAGATACTGCACGAGCCGGCAGTTTATAATGAACTTTATTATTTTGGAGAAAAAGTAGATGGTGATATGCCTGTAATTAGATGGGTCTTAGCGGTCTCCTTTTTTAGGGATCGGGTGAACTAAAGCTTTCTACTATGAATTCGGGGCTATGGCTAAGGAGTAGCAGTAACAGAAATTACATATTAGAAATCTGGAGCATACGTCCTTAGCACAATTGGGGAGATACCGTCAGGATCACTTGACTTGCTGATGTTCAAGAAGAGGAATGTTTTGCGAATGGAGTGCTATGTGAACTGCACATCTGGTATGGAGCTCTCGCACTGCGAAATGATCAGTGGTGTGTTCCCCCCGTCATCATGAATCGAGTTGCACGCAAAGAAACAGCCCAGTAGATCGGCTTTCTCCTTTGTGGCACGGGCCAGTGAGTCGTCCTCCCTGTGCAGAGATGGAAGAGATAACTGACAGAAGTTTCTTTGGAAAGCCTTGGCAAGAGACCAGAATGGCCCGGGCATTCTTTTCGGAGGAAGGCCAACTAGTTTCTTGCCTATTCTGCTGATGTGCTCTGACTTTTCCTTCGCAATGACTTTTTTGGAGGATTGAAGGCGGAATTATACTTCTTATTAAGGGCGCTGGTGTTTATTTCCCGGGCCGTTGTTGTGTGAGCCCAGGCCTGGCAGCATTTCTGCTTATAGCTCGATGATATTTTACAGGAGGGAACAAACCATGGTTGGAATGGCACCCATCCGATGGGCACCACAGAAGAAGGAATAAAAAGTTACATACCCTTAAGTACCACATCAGCGACAGAATTAGCAATAACTTTGAGATCATCCGTCGAGAAGCAAACCCTCCTCCCTCCCCTCCCAAGAGTATAATGCAAAGAAAAACCACGTCCTATCCTAATCGGCCGACCTATAGTGCCAAACACGGTTGCACTCTGCAGAATGCAACCGCAATGTTAGCTTGAGTGGTACCTCATTCCGTACTAGGAAATGGCCCGAGGATCCAAGAGGGGCGTCGATGGAGACCTTGTATCCGTCTTGGTGAGAGGTGAGTAGAAGTTACAACAGGGAAGGTTCATGATCCTCCACATCTGGAATCTGCGGAGGCGAAGTAACCAGTTGTGACAGACCATATGTCAATACAAAGTCACAAATAGATCTCTCCGCATGATTGGTTAAACCTGAACCAAGCCATTCGGCGCATTGGGCGTTAAAATCGCCGGGAATCAGGATCTCTGTGGATGGAATCTGCTGTAGAAAGTATCTGTAGTCATTTGGACATAGTCGATTAGTCGGTCTGTTTCGGCAAAAGGCACCCGTAGACACGTGGATGGGCGTCGTTGTCTACGCGTGAGTATATTATGAATACATCCCGAACCTTCAAAACTGCTGAGGCATCAAGAACAGATGTCTTATATGACGTATTCGCAAACTCCAGCCAAAGGCACAAAGGAGTGCTGCAATGTGCCACCCGGGTAGGAGAGATACAAAGTACTTTTACATATACACCTGCATCTCATGCAGAAAGAGCAAGTCCGGGTTTGCCGTCTCCAGATGGTAATGGGCGACATTTAAGTTCGAGTGAAATCTTCTGATGTTGCGTAAATACTTGGATAGCATGGCAGAGTTCACGTAGTATTGTTGCTCAACTTGCCCCGAGCAGTTAATGTCTTGAACGACAATTTTTCACCCCCAGAATACGCAAGGCAGCCTGAGCACCCACGCTCCGGAGTGGAGTTGCTTGTTCATAGATGCTCAGAGAAGGAATTTTCCATTACCAGGGGTGCTGGTACCCTCCTGGTGTAGTATATCAGGAAATTCTACTTCACGCTGGTATTCTGTGAGGTCGTGGTAGCTGTTACCAGTACCCAGTTAGAGCCGGTCTATACGTGTAACAGCAAAAGCTGCCGCGTGGCTCCAAAAAGGATTGTACAAGTTTACATATATAATTGATAACATACTAATTACATTTTACTCAATATTATAAAAGATGATTAGTAAACTTTCATATATTTTGAAAAGAAATTACTACAATGAAGGCGGTGAAAGAAGCGACCAAAAGAGATGGGGGAACGCAAACTTCTTTTGCGCAGAACAAAGCATTTAAGTGTAAGCCTACATAACATATATGCAACTCAATTGAAATCCATTAGGCTCCTCGAGCCGGGAGGTAATTTGCAAGAAATCTTTTGTTATCAAAGGCTTTTCTACCACACAAAGAGCACTTCAGAAGCATTTATAATAATGTTTAAAACCTGGCTTTATTTACATAGATTTAAAAATTATTACTAAAATTATATTTAATTACGTTATTATATTTGATGAGAGTTTTATATGTTTAATGAATCGCAAATGAATAATAGTTAAATTTTTGTCACTTTACTAATTACATATATACATATATACATATATATATATATATATATATATATATATATATATATATATATATACAATTATAATAATAAATATCTTGACTTTAATAATGAGTAAAAATTAAATCTTTGAAGTTCTTATGTATTAATCTTTACTTATTACAAATTCTTTGTATAGCCTTTCAGATAATATATAAATGAAATGTGGCAATTTTGAATTAAAATAATATAAACTTTTTAGTGCCGCCTCATCAAATGCTTTTATATGACAAATCTGGTGCAGATGTCTCGGGTGTAGTGGGACCGTTGGAAGAAGGATCTGCTTTAGTATTAGTTTGCGAAGTACGTGGTGGTAAGTTTACCTTTTTTTTTGAAAATCTTATATAATATATTTTTAGTATATATTTATATTTATATAAAATGAAATTAATGTGATTAAAAAGTAAGGAAACAAACGTTATGAAATACTTAAAAAATTCTATGTACCAACTACAATTTAACACAAAAATATATTTCAAATTAATTTATATGTTAATATATTATAAAGTTATTGTTTTTAAAAATAATATTTTATGAATGTTCAACTTGATTTATCTAAATCACCATATCGCTCTAATAATTTGTATTATGAGAGCAAGAAACGTTTTAAAGAGTATATAACATTACTGATGTTAGTTTTTAAAAATATTTCCTTCCTTATTAAAGTTACATAGAACGCGGTACGTCTAGCACCGGGGAGCGGTACGATCACCTGTACGCATCTTCTTTGTACAAGTAAAAATTACACATTTTGAAAACTTTCTCCATTTTTCATAACTTTGTGTATCCTTTTAGTAATATAAATATATTTTGCCAGACATTTTTGTCGTTTTTAACATCACACAAAATACAATTTCAATATAAAAAATAAACAGTTCTATTATAGATATAATATAAATTTTAATATGTATTATTGTACCAAACAATATTATATATCAATTAGCAAGACAGTAATCCTGTTGCTCAATTAAGAGCCAGACTAATAAAAGTTTTAATGAAAATGAGTAACAATAGGTGAGTAAAAAGGCAGTCACACCTGCTATTTTTTTAATGCGACGCTGTTCACGTGAGTGCCTTTGTTCATTGAGTTTTTATAAAATTGAAAACAAAATATTGTTCTGATGCTTGGAGTTTCTCTGTGTAATAGAATTAGTAATGAAGATATTTTCAGTAGAATCACAGCAACTGACATGGCACAGATCAGCAACTGACATGGCAGATCAGTAAGCTGAAGTCGCAATAGGCTAACCGTATTGCTCAAAGTCAATGGCAATCTGTAAGCGGTGTATAGCGGCCCTCAACTGATGGAGTGACAATCTTGCAAGACATGCAGGTTGGAAGTCAACGGATGCAGTAGCTCGAGATTGTGTTTTATATCATTCCTTAGAGGAGGCTTTTGTTGAATTGTGGACTTGTGAAGGGCCGTAAGGGTGATGATGGTGACGAAAAAGAAAATGTGTACTTGGTATAGACAAATGTTTTAAAATTATTGAGGTGAAAAAAAATAAGTGTGTGGAATTTTTTTATAAAATAAGCGTGAAAAACGAGCATACAGTCCACCTGATGGTAAGTAAATGCTTTGACCCATAGACATCTATCCTCTTTAAGAACCAAAATGCAAATGCGCTGTTGCCTCTGAGGACTACGAAGGAATGCCTCGTTTTCAGTAAAAAGGATCTCCGGTTCTCTACACTCACCATACAAAACACAGAAAAATTTTGCACAGGTTTTGTACCTGCGATCACTCCCAGATGTCATATTTACCACATCCCTATCAGACTTCAATAAGGATAAAATATCTCTTTTACTGTCAGCGTGTCACTTTTAGAATTTTACCAAACCAAGCACGTCGTCATCTGCGTCGGACTTTGCAACAACCTGCACAAACCTTGGATTACTGGCTAGAGCTTTGTATTGGTTTGTTTCCATCTTTTACCAGTTCATGTTCCAGTGCAAAAATTGCACCCATTGTGGTGTATATTTATATGGAAAAAGAACTATTATAATAACAGATCGTAATGTAACAACTGATTTGTGGCCTCTTTGGTTTGAAGTTGGTTGCGAGTGTCTTCTTGCTGTAAAAGCTTCTACTATTAAAATTACTATTAGCTTGTTTTCTAATCCAAAACTATATTGCGTATCATTAAGGTTTCACGCTTCATTAATAAGAAAATTATTTGATCAAATGCGAATGTGAGAAATATTTATCATCTACACATAGGTTTTTATCACTTCATTTCTTTTGTAGTAACATTGGAAGAGAATTTCCATTCGAATAAGTTTATTGAATAGTCCGCAGTATAACTGGTTGGCAGTGTGCCAGTAGGTGCACCGCACAGATTATCTTTGCCTGCGTGACCACAATTGTGATGATACAATGTGCAGTCCGATCAATAACTTTTTTTTTAAATTACTATCAGGTTAAAAATCAATTTGATTTGGAAACTATATATTCAGTTCTTTATATTAACAATATTGTTGATTAAATATAAATTATAGAACTTATATGATTATATAGAAAATAAATAACGAACTAATAATATTAATATATTATTATATCGGTCTTAACTTATAGACGATTGGTAAGCTCATTGAAATCCCAGTGACGGATGTGTCTTACCATTGACAATGCTATAATGATATTAATAGTTTCCCTGTCCACGATATAGGCACAATAGTTATACAATTCAATTGTTTTTACATGATTCATGGAACAGGAAAGGGTTAAGAAACTATATGTATGCACATTTTTGCTATTTCTTGTTTTTGAAATATATTACAGTTTAAGCATTTTACAGGTCGCCCCGAACCTCTTGTGTCATGGCTAGTTAATGGAACTGTAGTACCAAAATACATGGGAGTAAAATCTGATACGCATGTTGTTGTTAATCGGCTAGAAATACAAGAAGTTGGAAGAGACGACCTTAATACTACTTTTAAGTGCCGAGCATCCAATACACGTCTCGTGCCACCACAGGAAAAAGCCGTTCGACTGGAAATGAATTGTATGTTGTTTTGAACATTCTTAGTTATATAATAATACTTACTTTATTTTATTTTAATAAGGAAAATATAAGGAATCATAGGTGGTTTTAATAACTCATTTTATTTTCTGAGTATATTGTGGTTTAAATGTACAAATAAATTTTAGCTAAATAAGCTCAATTTACTTACATTAAAATAATATGTTCTTTTAAATAATGGTAAAATTGGGTGGTGGATAAAAGCTACAATTTTACTTTCTGTGTGTTTTATATAGTAGTTCACCTTTTTGATACTTGATGGCGCTGTACAAAAATTATATCGCGCTGTCGACGTGCAATGCAACTAGACCATAAGGCCACAAGAATATCATTTATTTTTGTGTATTAAACTTCACGTTAATATACCATAGTATACATACTTTGTGGAGAATTTTATTAAATCAAGCCATCGTAAGCCATTTTGGCATGTAGTAAAGTGCTAGTTTAAACATTTGGTCCAGTCGAGCCGAATTGTTAATTGGCTATTTTTGAATTCGGGATTGATTAATTAGGGCAAAAGGATTACTATTGAAAATCAGCTGGCACATAGTGCAAGCAAGATTTGGTAGTATATCCATCAAAAGTGCTATACAGTGTGTACATATCGCGCGAGTGCTCGCGTACACAAGTTCAGTTCAGTGTGGAGCAGCAGCGCCACACTACACGTAGTGGCGAAAGGAGGAGAACACAGCAGGAGTGCCAACACCACGCAGTGGCGAGACGAGGACAACTTAGAGGTTGGCGTTAATCAGCAGCGCCACATACGACGTGGTGGCGAGAAGAGGACAACCAAGCAGTTCCCGTGAATGACTTGATGTCATTCAGCACAGTGCGACAGTAGTTCGGTAATGTTAAGTGGATGAAAAACAAACTGTGAGTACTTTTCAAGTGTATATTTAATGCAAACAAATTTGAACTTTACTTCTATTAATTGTTAAGCTTTGAAACCATTATTAAAAATTTCTTTTACTTTAAACATATTTTTTTTCTGTAGATTTAAGGACTTAGAATAATTGTGTAAAAAACGAGGGAACGGGGAACCTATGCCCAATTTTCACCAAAGTTTAAAGTGCAAAAGACTTAGAATAATTTTGTAATTTTATTGACTTAGTTTATTTTGGTTGTGTTATTTGTATTTATAGTAAAATTATTTAATATGGAGAACCTTATTGCATTACAAGATGAATTATACAGCCGAATGAATAAGTCTCAAATTAATTTTAGAAAATGTTCAAAGGACAGAAAAACTAGTACATGTTGTGTTAAAAATAGAATAGAAAATTTAGATAAAATATGGTTTGAATTTGTCGAAAACCAAAAAAATTGTTCAAAACGATAGATAGTGCAAAGTTAAAGGAAACGACGTATATTAAACGAGACTTGTATGACATTGTAGAAGAATTTTATTGCAATTATAAAGCAGAGTTGAGTACATTCTTAAATGATAATGATAGCGATAGTAATGTAAATCGGAATTCGAATAATTCCGTTAAGGAGTTTCAAGTTAAATTACCTAAAATTTCTATTCCCACGTTTTCTGGGAAGTATTCAGAGTGGACAACATTTCGAGAATTGTTTATATCGCTAGTTCACAAAAACAGTTCGTTAGATAATATACAAAAGATGCACTATTTAAAAGGACATCTCACGGGCGAAGCCGAGCAACTTGTCCGGCAAGTACCAGTGTCAGATACAAACAGAAGATAAAAAATATAATCAGTGTTGGGAACAGTTAGAACGTAGGTATAACAATAAAAAGTATCTCGCAAATTGTATTCTTCTACCGGTTTGAAAGATTTGTTGGATACGACTAATGATTGTCTTCATGCTTTAAAGAATTTAGATATTAATATTAGTACATGGGATTTAATTATTATTCATGTTATGACGTTTAAATTAGACCCAGAAACACGTAAACAGTGGGAATTACAAACTAGTAGTGATAGTCTAAACGATTTGCCCACATTTGAGCAATTTAAAACTTTTGTGGAAATTCGATTTAGAGCATTAGAGTGTATAGAGCCAAAAAAAGGGGTTAATTCACAACAATGTACATACTTCACATACTACAAAAGCATAGGTTGGATTTAAACAGCATTATTTCGTGGATGTTAAAGCTTGTTGTGAATACTGTTCAGAAGTTCACAAACTATGTTTTTGTAAAAAATGCCTACAGCTTCCTTATGAGCAAAGATGCAACATCGTTTTATATTTGCTTTAATTGTTTAAGCGGAAACCATTCAATTAAACAGTGCCAAAATCCAGCTAATTGTAGAGTTTGTAAGAAACGACACCATTCATTATTGCATCCCACTAGCGGTAAGGCTACTAATAATGATGACCAGGACAATAAAGCAAGTACATCCGTTGAAATTTTGGATGGCGATTGGGATAAAAAACCCATAGTTAGCTGTCTTTCGTCTGGAAACGGCATGGAGTCCAGACAAGTTTTATTAGCCACCGCGCTAATAAGAGCCAAGTCCATCTCAGGAAACTATCAATTGGTGCGGGCCTTGATTAACCAAGCTTCATTTATAACCGAAGCTACAGTTCAGTACTTAAGATGGAAACGTACGCCAGTAAAAACACGGTAACCGCATTAGGTGCCGACAGAGACATAGTATCAAAGTACATAGTAACACTCGATCTGAAATCGTGTACAGATCCAAACCTCAAACTACAGGTTACAGCTTATGACCTAAAGACTATAACGTCTTATCTTCCGGATACAAAGATAGAGTTATCGAATTGGATGGATTTGAAAGGCTTAAAACTGGCTGATCCAGACTTTAGCACTCCAAATAAAATTAACTTATTATTAGAAGCTGATGTCTAAGGTCAAATATTAAAGAGCGGTGTAAAAAAGGATCCAACGGGATATCTTATCGCACAGTGTACAACTCTTGGTTGGATTCTTTCTGGTATGATAGATAGAACAAGATTAAATAATAGTACACAAAAAATGTCAGTAATACACGCACAAGTAAAACAGAACGATATACTCAAGAAATTTTAAGAGTTAGAAGAACAATTTCCACCAAGTAAGAAAATATTTTCAGACAAGAACAAGAGTACGAAGATCTTTTCGTAGCCACAACCACTCGAACATCTGATGGCAGATATGTAGTTAAACTGCCATTCAAAGATAAAGAGCCGGAATGTAAAGGTGGCAACTCGCGTAATATCGCTGTAAAACGATTAAAGATTATGGAAAGAAAATTAGAGAAGGATAAGCACCTAAAAGAAAAATACACAAAAAATTTTTAAATAAATATTTATATCTAAATCACATGAGACCGGTAAGGGCAGAGCAAAAGAAAGAAAATGAAATTGTGTAATTACCCCATCACGCTGTAGTAAGAAAGGACAAACTCACAACCAAAGTTCGGATAGTGTTCGATGCGTCCTGCAAAAACGAGAACGGTGTTTCTTTGAACGATACGCTTATGGTAGGATCACCTATACAATCCGACTTTTGCCATATACGTTGGAGAGTATATCCCATCCACCTCGTAGCCGACATTATAAAAATGTATCGTCAGGTAAGGGTGACCGAAAATGATACAAAGTTCCAAAGGATAGTCTGGAGACAGGGCTCGGACAAGCTGATACAGGATTATGAATTAACCACCGTTACATTCGGGACTGCATCAGCACCCTACTTGGTTGTAAAGACGCTGAATCAAGTCGCTATCGATGAAGCAGAAACTTATCCCCTAGCAGCGAATAGAGTTCGGGAATCTTTCTATATGGATGACCTAATGACTGGGTGCTCTACAGCCGAAGAAGGTAAAGATTTATATAGACAGATGAAGAATCTGTTAAAGAAGGGAGGCTTTGAACTACAGAAATGGAATGAAGTAATAGTCAAGAATTACATAGAGCAATAAATAATCAGGAAGCGGAAGAAACTAAGAGCAAAAGAGCAAGGAACAAGAACGTACCTGAAAAGTTTGTAGAAAACAGTCTGGAAAATAAAATCTATGAAGAAAGGAACATTAAACTAGATATAACTAAAATTCCAGGACTTACTTGGAACCGTAGTGATGACGTCTTTAAATATTCAGTATAGCTCGCTCCAACACATGGACCTTAAACTAAACGAAATATAATTTCAGAAAAAGCTCGTCTATTTGACCCTCTGGGTTGGCTAGCACCTACCGTTATACTAGCAAAAGTTATGGCTTTCTGGTATAGGATGGTTTGTATTTCAAAATAGCCTAGATTGAATGCGATACGAGACGAGAATGGCTGTATCCTGAATGATGAAGTGTTGAGTCTAAAGAGATGGAAGGAATATTTTGAAAGCGAATTTATGATTGAGGAGAAGTGTGAACTAAATGAAATAGAAATTCCGAAAGAAGATGAAAGAGATAGGGAGATAAGTGTAGATGAAATAATGAAAGCAATGAAAAGCATGAAAGTAGGTAAGGCAGCCGGATATGATAGAGTTTCACTCGAAATGCTAAGGGCTGGAGAGGACGTGGTGGCAGACCTGCTGTACACCTTGTTTAATTTATGTTGGGAACTAAAGCGGGTACCGGGAGACTGGTGCAAAGCCGTGATAGTCCAAATATATAAGGGAAAAGAGTCACAGCAGGACTGTAAAAACTACCGTGGTATCAGCCTTCTTAGCATTGTGGAAAAACTGTATGCTAAGGTACTAATTGAAAGAGTTATGAAAGAAACTGATGAAAAAATTTGGGATGTGCAAGCGGGATTTAGAAAGGGAATGGGGTGTACAGATCAAGTCTTTTCCATGCGCATGATCGCGGAGAAGTTTTTGGCGAAAAACCAAAAAGTTTTTTGTGCGTTCATGGACTTGGAAAAAGCTTATGACAGAGTGGACAGGGATGTGTTATGGCAAACGCTGAACGCATTTAGGTTGAGCGCTGGTTTGATACAGGCATTAAAGTCTCTATATAGGGACTCGAGTGCTTGTGTTAGAATCAACGGGGTCTACTCGGACTGGTTTGGCATCC